CTTCCTCTGACTGTGTCTTCTCTACTTTCTGCTCAATATTCTTCAGTGATTCAAGTTAACCACATTCAAAACAGTTCCTTCTTCATCTCAAGCATGAGTCCTTCTCACATACAGTATTCTGTGACAGTTCTCTTGTACCCATAACTAATTCCCAGGTTACTGACGCATTTCATCATCCCCTTTGCTTTCAACAGACAACAAACATTTGACAGAAACTCTCACACCTCTTTTTCACCTGAGACCATGGATGTTCCGTACATCCTTCAGTTATAAAAACTGCATCCTAGTCCACTGGCTCTGCGTTGTACCTCTAGACAAGTTCATCAAGGATGTTTACTTATGTTTTATAGCATAGAAACCAAATGCCATAAATACATTAGTACTGGGACTTTGCTTTTCTCATTGCACAAAATCAACAGCATATAAAACTCTGTGATGAATGTTAACTATGTAACAACATCGTAATGTTCAAAAGATGCTTAAATAGTAGCCTGGCTAACACAGTCAGTCTGTAATTCAGTATTTACTTGCACAAACCTAGCACTATAAAGATTTCCATAGAGGATTGAGGGCTCTACACATTGTCACTTCGAAGTGGATAAAAAAATCCCTTCATGTTGCCTCAAAAGTAACAATCCATCCATCAGGCTTCTGGGAAGACAGTCTTTCTAGTATTATTTCTTTTGCCTGGACATCAAAAAAGAAACTGTCATTCAAAGGAGAAAATAGCAGACACGGCAAATCGATCTGCTTAGTGTTCCTGAAGATACCAGAATCATCGTGGCTTCCTACCAATGCCAATCTCGATCATATAAGCACCAAAAGAACCAATCTTATTTTTCTTTATCCTTCCACAATGAAGGTGTGGCAGGATTTTTGTGGCTCATGGAACCAAATGGGGAAAATCATTCAGAGGACTGCCTCCCTTATGAACAAATTATTTCATTGCCTGAGAGAAAGCATTTAAAAAAAAACAAAAACAAACAAACACATAACAAAACCATTCCTTTTAAAGCCAACATTATCCTTTGCTTTTGCCTGTGTAATATAATCTACATACTGTTTTGTAAATTTATGTTCTTGTAAAACTGTTCCAATGTGGTATTATTATAGTTTTCCTCAGCAGAATGGAAAACTAAAATAAGACATAGCCAGAAGAATATCTTAGGGCCGAAGATTTTGAAACAACACAAAAAATAGAAGAGGCATAGTGTTGTGGTTTAACCCAAGCCAGCAAATAAACACCACACAGCCGCTCGCTTGCTCCCCCCACCCCCAGTGCGATGGGGGAGAGAATAAGGAGAGTAAAAGTAAGAAAACTTGTTTAATAATTGAAATAAAGTAAAATAGCAGTAGTAATAATAATAAAAGAATATACAAAGAAAATGATGCACAATGCAGTTGCTCACCACCTGCTGACCGATGCGCTGTCCCCAGGCCAACATCCCCCAGCTTTTATCTGAGCATGAAGTCATATAGTATGGAATACCCGTATTGCCAGTTTGGGTCAGCTGTCCTGGCTATGCTCCCTTGCCAGCTTCTTGTGCACCTAGCAGTGCATGGGAAGCTGAAAAGTCCTTCAAGCATAAGCACTGCTTAGCAACTAAAACATCAGTGTGTTATCAGTACTATTCTCATACTAAATCCAAAACACAGCACTATACCAGCTACTAGGAAGAAAATTAACTTTATCCCAGCCGAAACCAGGACATATAGCAATGTCCTATGAAAATAAAAATACTTCTGAATACCACACTGTTTCAGGACAATCAGAATTAGTACTTACTACATGACTATATAGAGTTCTACCAGTCCTAAAACTAGTAATACAATTCCTAAATTCTGACAGTTGGAATTATTATCTAGGCAATTAACAAATTGTTAGTAGAGCTAGAAATATTTCAGAATCTTTCTTCAGACATTATTTTATTATTTTTCACATTTCTAAGCAAAACTGCTAAGAGTAAAATTGCTTCACATAAATCAATTAGGGAAAAATGCATTAATTTGATTATGAAAATAATTATCTGTAATATCTATTATTAGACAATGTTTTATCATTAACTGCTGCTATGAAATACAGGATGCCTCACTGCTGATCTTGGGGTTAGTGGCAGTAACTGCTAACTTAAAAGGCTTTGTTAAAGCCTTCATGTTTATTTAACCTGCCTGAAGTGCATGCTATGCAGTTGACATTTCTAGAAAATATCGATGTTTTCCTACACTGACTCTGCATTACTGAGTGCTGTAAAAAAAAATTCCAATGCATATGATCAGCTCATACTTCTAATTCTGTTTAAAATATTTGTATAGTTACACTGACTCATAGCTTGAAATTAGCACGACATAACATTAAGCAAGAATCTGAAGTTTATCATTAGGATCATTTTGTCAAATTTCAAAATGGTGCTTCAAAAGGGATGCTTTATCCTGCTTGCCTTTGTTTTCAGTCATAAATTTCCAGGAGAATCTAAAGTAAAGCAATCTATTCTGGAATTCAAAACAAAATACAAACAGAAAACAACGGCAACCCCTTCAAAAACTTAACCAGAGTGCAAAAAGCAAACTAGACTGGTTGTATGAAATGCTTTAGAGCATTAATCTGCCACGTAACTGTGCGACTATTTGCTTAAATACTTAAGGTTTGTCACACAGCTCTCACTAACCTCAGAGCAGTCATCTGCAACGCCATCTATTAGATCAGCGCAAATTTCCCATCTCTCGCTGGCCGACTCAGCAGTAGCTACAATATTATACAGGAACCCCGTGGCAAAAATAGCCGAGTGAAAACCTGTGTACTGCTCACCTGAAAAGCATATGACGCCACAGAGACCCCGTCAAACTGCGAAGTAGAGTTTTTTGTTTTCAAAAAGGCAAAGCACCCTCTCGCAGGCCCCTCGCTGTAGCCCCTCGAGCCCCGTGCGAAAGGCGGGGGGCCCAGCCCCCCGGCGTGACCGAGGCTGGGCCGCCCCGCAGCCCACTAGAGGCCGGCGCGGGGAAGGCCGAGTTTCT